TGCTGATGGATGTGATTATGTACTATATATAATATTATATATATCCTTCCACTTTCTCCACCAGTTCACTAATGAAGATGCAACATTTTCTGGACTTAAACTCAGCTTGACTCTGTTGCTCTGATTCTGCTCTATACTGGAAAAATGGGACACTCTTGCTCTGTTCACCAGCTGGAGTGGGCTCTGCTAAATGTGTGCACTGGACTCTCACTGCAGGCATCTTCCTATTTTCCTCCACCAAACATTCAAAAAAAACATTAGTTGAGAAGATAGAAAATTTCCCTCATTTTTTCTGTCAAAACATTGAAAAAGTAATTCATATATCAATGATTTTCTGTGTGTGAGATATGATGTAAAAATTTGTCAGTTTCTTCAAGGATAATGCTGTATTTTCTGTATATTGTCTTTTAAATAGCAGCTTATAATAATGTTAATTTTCTTTTGTGTTTTTCAAATGTTTTGTGTATATTTGAAAAACACAGAGAAGAAAATTAACATTATTGTAAGCTGCTATTTAACAGATAATAGATGAAAAATATAGCACTATTCTTGAAGGAACATGCCAAATTTTTGCATCATGTCCCACGCACAGAAAATCATTGATACACATTTTTTTCTTCTATGTTTTGACAGAAAAAATGAGGGAAATTTTCTATCTCCTCAATCAATGTTTTTTGGATGTTTGGTGGAGGAAAATGGGAAAATGCCTATAATATCTACAATCAAGTGATGGAGCTGCTACTGCTCCCAGAACTCTACCTAATGCCCTGTCTGCACTCCAAACACCACCAAACACCTCTACAACCTAACCTCCTCCCTAGGGTCCCCCACTCCAATATTAACTCAAGCTAACTTGTCAGTGTGGAATATCAGACTGCTGTACTTCAATGGTGTTAATAGCTGCTGCACATGTCCCACATGTACAAGCTTATATACACAAGGAGCTGAAAGCTGTGGTTGGAGTTAGATTGGGAGGTGTTTTACAAACACATAGGTGCAGATATTCTTGTTCTCGCTGTAGGACTTGGAGTCCTTATAGCCTTGTAGAGGCCATTTTTGCAGCATCCCTTAGGTCCTCACACCATGTGCATTATCACTAACACAGTGCACATTCTTTCTGCTATCAGCTAACAGCTGCAGCTCATGCACGTGCATCAGCTCGCATTAGCTTTTCTTTGGTTCCATTGTGTATCCTTCCTCCATCCTATCCATGTCCTCCACTTGTCCATTGGTGCGTATTTAATCTCATTTGTCTTAGACTGACCATATTTTCAAAGCTATCTCATTTATATTTTCATTACTTGCATTATGGACCCTTTTTTACATATTACTGCTACCTACTCGGCTCTGAACAGCACTTCAACATGCTATCATATATACTTAGTACTTGAGATTTTTCATGTATCTTATTTTTCCCCCATCGAAATTATCATCCGTTTCCACACAAACACTTAGACTGAAAATCTAAAACCTTCAGCATACTACTGCACACATGTCTCTAATGGCCATGCTAATTTTCGCACTTTGCCCATTGCACCTATCGTCAAGCACTCCTCACGCATCATCATCACATCACATCACTTCCGTGTTCTCAAACCTTCATATATATCCTTTGGCTCGACAGCATGTTTTTGCATCTCATTAAATCTTTGGCCACTCAGCCGCGCATCATATCGCTCTTTTGGTGGCTCACTTGCACTCGCATTGCATCGGCGCAAGTTCTCGCACTCCTTCCATTCTCAGTTACTCTTATTAGTTCTAAAGTTTCCCCTCATATTTTACTTATAGGAATTGTTCTCAGTAGCAATCCCCTTGGGCCGAATCTATACTCATGTCCAGAGGTCTATTTGAGTTTGACCCCACTTCACCCTTTCTCCCCCTTTCACCCCTTCTCATCTAGCCATCATTCCTCACACACATCATATCTCACATTGATGACTGTTGAGTCCATCCCTATGGACCCTAACTCCCTACTCATGCAATTGCAATCTCCCAAGACTCCTGCTAAGTCCACACTCATAAAACACATCCCTTATTGTGAGGCCATTAGCTCACTCATGCATCTTACCATTGACACTCATCTAGACATAGTGTTTGCCATCTCAACCATTGCTTAGTATGGCACCAACCCTGCATGGCATACTGGGAGGCTATCAAGAAGATCTTTTGGTACCTTGCAGGTATCAAGAAGATGGTGCTTACCTTTGGTCAAGGCAAACTCAGCCTTAAAGGGTACATGGATGCTAATGGTGCCTTGCAGGACCATAGACACACCATCTCTAGCTATGCATTTTTGTTGGATGATGGAGCCATGTCATGAAGCTTGAAAAAGCAGGAGCTAGTGACACTCTCTATGATAGAGGCTGAATATGTTACTGTCATGCATGCAGCAAAGAAAGCCATCTAGCTTTATCATCTCATCTCTGAAATCTTTCACCTGCTCACTCAACCAACCACTCTCTATTGCAACAATCAGTCTATCATTGCACTTACAAACTTCAGCGTGTTTCACATGCACACCAAGCATATAGACATTTGCTATCATTTTGTTCAGTTTTCTATTGACAAATGTTCAATTTTACTAGAGTACTGTCCTACAGATGATATGATTGCTGACACCTTCACCAAACTTCTTCTTAGCCTCAAGGCTAAGCACTTTGCTACTGTGCTTGGACTCTGCTTAGTTTGAGGAGGAGTATTGCATACTCTAATCTCAATATGCCCATTCTGTAGGTTACATAAGCTACTTACTATTTTCTTTCACACACAATAGAACTTCCTCAGTGACTTCTATTAGTTCACTGAGCTTATGTACTTTCTGCATTAGTGCATAGCCAGGAGTGCATATCACTAGACTGAGCCAACAGCATAGTTTCATGATAGGCCTACCTTATCTCATTGCATCCACTATGTTTCAGATCAGTGTATATCATCATTGCTCTTATGTTGTAGTCCTTTATAGTGGAAGAAGACCTCAATGATTCCATCAACAACATTGCTTTTACCCCTGGGTTAGTATCACATTTCAGCTTGATATTCAAGCCTCGCATAGATGAAGCATTATTGAGAAATATTCTCAGTTAGACAGTGTATAACAGGCCTTTTTGCTTTGGGTGGCTGTGGGCAGAGCGATCTTGATATATTTTGCATGACTTATTAGGTCTGTATTTTGCCTTTTTAGGACCACTCACACCAGATATCCACTGACATAATCTTACTATGCAGTATATGCTCATCCAATGCTGTTTGACATTACTGTTCCTGCACTTTACAGATCCCTTATATACTTTTATATACTTACTTTGTTTCTATAGTCACTAGTTTGGATGCTTGGTAGTGAGCCAAATCTCTAATCTCTGACACTAGTGCTCATCAAGGGATAGTGGTGCCTCCTTCAGTTTCAACATCAATATATGATGCACAACTGGTATCCAATGTGAAAATTGCCTCAAGAAAATTTCACTAGCACTTACCAAGCCTTGGACTGCAGTGCCTCCTTGTATTTCAACATCAACATACAATGTGTTACAGGCATCTGTAACACCTACTAGAGCCCCAGCTCTGCCTACACCTGCCCCCGCTCTGCTAGACTCCCCGCGCAGCGGTGCGCCGCCTGCGCCTAGAAAGACAGCAGTCTGGACCGCTATGACCCCGCCCCTGGCCTAGATGGCCTTGTACCTGATCCATGGAGGCTGTACGCCTCATGGACACCCTAGATCAGCGCATGCATAACGCATGTCGCTTCATGAAGATCCGGAGCGCGCATGGCGCTTCCTGTACCTATGCGCAGCTGCCCTTGGCGCAGCATGCTTGATCAGAGGTTAAGCCTCATGTATGCTATCTGAACCTCATGTCTTGTTATCATAGATTTACGATATACTATTGATTACAGACTGAGCTAGAATACTTGTAGTACTTCCCTATAAGTAGACACAGATTATTGTACTTAGACTTTACTTTAATCTACTAGGTTCATCCCCAGAACTTGCTCATCTAAGCTTACCAGCTTCCTTGTGTGAGACCGCACTTCTAAGTCGCCCCCATACGACTTAGCACGTATCCGCTAGCCCTGCATCTCGACGAGCGCTGTCTTACCGAGATCGCCGGAGGAATCCTTGACGTTCCATCAAGGCTAGACCACGCTCAGCTTCAGTAGACTCACTCGAGTCATCGCTGAGAAGACCTACCCTAGTTCGCACACGCCGACCGACGGTCAGCGTAACACAATGGGCAACTGGTGTCCAATATGTGCACAGCAAAGATATAGTTGTCTTGGTTGGCATCTGTTGTGCATTCTTGTCAAGTCAGCTCAGTTACCACCAGTACAGCAGCTACAACAATAAGTGCTGATTCTTCTTCATCAGTTACTTCTATCTCCAAGTCTATCTTGTTTTGCAGTGCTTGATACTGATATAAGATATTATCCATGGTATTCCATTGACCTATGGTTTAGTTTTTCATACAGAATATCTTATTGTGTAATTTGGAAATTGTTTTTCAAAGTCTGGTATATGATAGTCCACATTATTTTGCCTATGGGAAGTCACCTATTACTTTCTCGAGTACAGGAGACAGGATTTGTTGCTGCATCAGTAAATCACAAATTTCTCACAGACTTCAGATTCCCACAGTGTGACAGACCTCACATAATTCCACAATCCTAGAGCCACAGAGTCACAGATTCTCACAGTGTGCTACAGATCCACAGGACTCACAGAATAAATCACAAAAATTTTCACCAAGTCTTTTCTCTAGTGAAACATCAACACTAAGCTTTAATATAAAGCAAAACTTATTGAAATTCATTATCAGGATTATAAGTGCAAAACCTATTGACCAAGTAAACCTTGTCAAAATTCACAATTTTGATACTACTTTGTACTAAACAAGCTGCCAACTGATCACTCACATAAGTTACATTCATCACAATGGCAAGGACCTTGCTCCAGCAAAGGAACGTTGCTGCACTCGACAGAGTGCATATATAGCTTATGACGTCTGCTCAAGAGTACAATGGTCATTCAATGATCAAAGTCCAACTTTGGTTCAACTAGAAACATCCGTAATCATAGTACAGAGGTGAAAAGTTCCTGTGAGTTCCTAAGAAGCTAATATCATTTGAACTTGTCCAGCAGCTTCGACCCGCCTGCAAAGAAACCACATCAGCAATGGATGACAGAACGTTGTTCAAGAGTAAACTCACTCTGCGCAAGACTCTCCAGGTGTCTCCTCGCATCCCTCCCCGCGATGCCTTCCACTGTGTCTAGTGCGCGCCCCGCGAGATTGGACCTGCCCCCTCCACCATTGCCTGTCCACATCGGTGCCGGCTGGTTCGGGGCGTAATAGCTCTGAGACTGCGGGTGCGTAGGAGGACCTTGTGAGAACGACCAGAATTAGCAACGCGAGGGCAGCTGTGAATAGAATATACGCACTATTATGGTGCACTTTGGACGAAGGCGAGCTCGGGATTCCCCATTCAGGTGGAGGGTATGGTCGAGGAGAATGCGAACCACCAGGAGGTTGTGCGGGAGGAACTTGGTGTTGGAAGTAGTCTTGGGCAAGTGGATTTGATGCGGGGTAGGTTTGGTAGGGATGCGGTGGCTTGTCCGTTGCCATGTAAGGTTCTTGAGGTACACCAGAATTTGGAATTGTGTTCGGATAGAATTGTTCTACGCGGGGGTAAGAGGAATTGTGTGAATGCGTCTTAGCATCATGTCGATCGTATCCTGGTCCGCCTATAGCGGAAGGCCTACCCTGGGGTGAGGGTGAAGGGTGGGAATCGAGGGGGGACAGCGGGATGATTGTACGGACCATAGTGAAGCTGTTGTTGACCAGGATATTGTGAACATGATGCAACAGGTACTTGTGAAGTCGGCGGGCGCGGAGAAATTGACGGGATTGCGGGCGAGATACTAGGACGCCTTAGACTCGCCTCCACAGAAGGCATTTGCATGATTGAAGAAGAAATCCCTGATGCATGGGATTCCTGTGGTGCTGAGACAACTTCTGACGGATGGTGTGATAATGTCTGTCGGGCGAGATCATCGGCCAAATATGCCACATTGGAAGATGCAGGTGGAGGAAGAGGGAAAGAAATTTGGGAGGATGGCCTGACAATGGAATGCGAAAAGCCTGGTCGCTGATAGAGCTGATGGGGACGCATGTCCATATCCACCTTATCGGAGGAATATACCGGTCTTGCTGACATTGGAGCCGGTGGAGGGCGAGAACTCATGTTAATAGCAGGAGGTCGGCTGCCCGCTGATGGCGAGCTCGTGGTCAGCGATGGACTCCTGGCTGGAACAGGCGGCGGGGACACAAAAGAGGCTGAGACACTGGATGAATGGCCGAGAGTGGGCTTGGTGGCTTCAGGTGGGACTAGTCTGACGTTGGGTGTACTGCTTGTTCGAGGACTTTGCGTCGGTTGTTCATCTTCCAGCCTATATGGAGGTGGAGCCTCATCCACCTGCTGCACTTCCTTCCTTTGTAGCCCAATCATGATACGCTCGTTGAGCTTCCTTCCATCGCTCCGCTTCTTCCTCGTGAGCTGTTTTATCTTCATACCTGGGGCGTGTTGCCCAATAATCCTGTAACTCCTTGACAGGAAATGTCTCATGTATCATACGATCACCGCGCAATGATTCAGCGGCAAAACCAGTTATACGCATATACCAGTCTGACGGGAGCGAATAGCCATCGGCATCGAGCGCTAGAAAGTTAAACTGTGGGTGAACAGGAAGTTGCTTTGAAGAAGAGACAACGGGCATGAATGCTGTTCCTTCGTCATATTCATCCCACATGGCCCCATAGATGATGCGCACCCCTGCGTGTCGAGCAGCATATATTTGCTTCCAGAGAAAGCGGCCCCCGTTGCGCTTTATGTCGTTGAGTCCCCATTGGCCGCCAGAGAGATTATAACCCTGTAGAACATAATCATAATCAGTAGGACAATGATCATAGACGGGCGTTACTGGACTTACGCTGCCTCCAGGAAGTACCACAGGTATGTAATCTACCCTTTTTTTGCCTTCATCTCCTCTTTTCTTCAAAAAATCAAAGTCCTGTTTGACTTTTTCATTCCCCCAGCGTTCCGCATCATCTTCATTTCCGTAACGTCCGATAGTCCAAGGGCTCAATGCATCAAATTCTTCTGTCCAGACTCGCAAGAACTCGGGGTTTGGGTCACTATCAGATGTCGATGTGCGCCAGTGTCCAGGTACACCTGCCATAAGATAAGCACCGCCTGGTGTAGAGGAACGAAAGAAATTAGTGATAGATCGCACGACTTCGGGAGAGTGATTTCTTTCGTTGAATCCAAAACCTTGGGGGGTAAGATGAACTAAACAACCATAGTGATATGGATCAAATGCATACCCCACAGAGCGATGACCGGGCTGCCTTTCTCGCGAAGATAATTGGGGCTGTCTAGAATGCATTTATCACGCACGAGATGCATCCAATCTTGCTCGAGCACTCGCTGAATCTTGTCTGGGTGAACACCCGAAACATCATACCTAGATACGTAATGAATATCGATCAAATGGGTTGACAAGTATGCGCACATGATGGCAAATACCCTCCCCTCTGCTTCAGCAGCCTCTCGAACACGATCACCCACTTCGTCTCTGATTTTCCTCATCGCGGTGCCCGCCTCTATGTCGCACTGGCCTGCAAATCGTTGCAAGAACGCGCCGTCGACACCGTGCAACGCCATCCAGTGAAAATGGCGCCTCACCGTCTTCGAGTGGCGCGAAGAAAATAGAAACATTTGTTCTCCGTCTGCATTTTTGAGACCTGTGGCAGGGTACAGTTCAGATGGGGAGTATTCAGATACATCTGGCCATATATCTGTATTGGGGCGTCCACCGTCTGGGAGCGGCTTATCAAACCAGTGTAGCCACCCATGATGGTTGGGATCCAAGGGTTCGCCATCTCCAGGACAGGTGAACCTGTAAAAGGAATGTTGAGTACGAGGCTCACTATATCATAATGCGTCCCATCATCCGTCTGCGACTTTGGACCACTCGAGAGACGCTCAAAGGTAATTATGAAACCTGGACGGCTCACGAGCTTGCATCTAAGAAATACGCGAACGCACCATCCTTGATATCCAACTAGAAATTTATCCTGTATTGTCTTTGGGTTTGCTCTGCGGTAAGGTTCAAGGTAATAAGTAACCGTGACGATGCCATTGCACGTTAGTTAGTAGTGAGGGTAAAGGTGAGCATACCTTTTGAGAACTCGTCCTTCTAACACTTTCCCCGACTGTCCCGACATGGTGTGAAACAAAGTAAGATGATGCTACGTCAAGTGCTACGCAGCTCCTAGGCCCAGGGCCATCAGAAACACACATAAATATCGCAGTTCCTGTAAGTATTTTAAGTTGTGACATAATCATTCCGTAAAATAATTATTGAAATCTCACGTTTGTTGCTGTGCACCAACTTCTATCAGTGCTTTTTTAAGCTTCCAGCTGCAGTCCCGGAGCACGCAACGCTGCCTTGATATGCTCAATATGAGTAGTCAGAGGGTAAAAGCTATTATTATTTTGAGTCATGAGACTCATGACATAATACCCAGCTAATGTTGTCCTCTTATATTGTCATCGAATCGATGGATGACTTTACCAGTGCCAAACACCATGGATAGTACTGCAGAAGAGCTCGCCAGCTATCTCGTACAGCAACTCAAAGTGTACGTTTATTTTCTAGACTAATACCACTTGATTTGATGGTCACTGGCAAGCCAGTAAAGTAGCTGGAGAGCGGCTCTTAGTTGCTATCGCAGGCGTCCCTGCGTCAGGCAAATCGACCCTGGCTGAGCTGGTGGTCGCCAAAGTTAACGCACTTTTGGCTGCTGATAACGTCACGCATCACACTTCTGCCATTCTGGTTGCCTTGGATGGGTGGCATCTGACACGCGCACAACTAGATGCCATGTTGGATCCTAAACTTGCGCATGATCGTCGCGGTGCACACTGGACTTTCGACGGACCATCTTACGTCGAGTTTGCCAAGCTTTTGCGTCAACCGGCAACTGCTGTGATAACTGCCCCTTCTTTTGATCATGCCCTGAAAGATCCCACCCCTCACGCTGTGTCGATATACCCTTCCCACCGCCTGGTTGTGATCGAGGGTTTATACTCCATGTTAAAGCACGAAATATGGGAGAAGGGCGCACAGCTAATGGACGAACGGTGGTGGATACAGGTAGATCTGGAGGAAGCGAAGCGACGATTGGTCAAGAGGCACGTCCTCACGGGCGTGGCTAAAGATATGGAAGAGGCAATATGGAGAGCCGAGCAGAATGATGAACCAAGTAAACGCCGTAATCTTCATAAAATGATATGAGGGATGCTAAATCTTGGCCTCCTAGATGGGAAGTTTATTGCGGAAAACCTATATGAACCCACAAGGATCATCAAGAGCTTGGACGACCCCAAATATACCCTTTGACCTACTGCAAAAAATTAAATCTCACTTCTCCGAATGCAATAAAATTTTAGGCTTCTACTGGGACTTGGTTCACTCGCCGATAAACCCCCGAATAAGGACAGATAAATCACAATCGAGTTGTAGACTGTGCATCACAGTGATTTTGCAGAACGTCTACCGATGCATAGCTCCCTTTCACTCTAATTACAGTATTTCTGAATCTCCACAGTCGATCGGTCTACTACGAGGAACGCCGACATCGCTGCCTGAATCCCGTGTCTCCGTGGCTGTAAGCATCCATGACGATGGCCATATTCAGGGGCTGCGAAAGAATAATATTCATAGGGTTTTGGTGGTTTGAAATCGGGTTTCCGTTCCTGAGTTGCAGGGAACCTGCTATACCCAAGCTGATCCACACCATAATGAGCTCGAACTCAGTAGCGGAGTTAGATAGGTGCTCACGTTTGCAAGACATGTGCGGGTTACGTATATACCGTTGCTCACAGTGGGTAGAACTTCGAGCACGATGCAGTGAGCCCTAATTGTTTTGCGCGACGTAAATGCCTCTTCCGGCAAATAAGACAGATAGTAATATATCGCGGCACTTATCGATGAGCTTCAAAATGGTTATCATACAGCATTTTCATTATCTTTGATCACGGATATACTGACGATTGGAACGATACATTTATCGTTCAGAGGGCACCCGTGGGTGTTTGCCACCATTTACATAGCTTAGTCAGTACGGGTAGAGCCTTCGGACGTTGTCGTAAGTAGTGTTCATCATGAGTCAATACTAGGTCACACTTGCTTCTGTCTGCCAGAGGCAGGCACGTTGCCAGCCCCACCAGTCCGTCGCCAACGTCATATAAAATGATCGTCCACGTAGGGAAGCCTCAGATCAGCAACTACGAGTCGACCGGCTCGATCAGGGTGAGTGTAGGAGACCATGCTAATACCGCTGATCAGGGTCTTGGTCGAATTGTTATTCAGGTGACAGTGAGCTTCACTTGCATGACATGTATTTGCGATATACAGAGCGAGGAAGAATTACGACACGCCAGTCGCCATATGAGACCTTTAAGCACCGCGACAATTGCATCTCTGACTTGTTGCCCGAAAAACATTTTCACAAACTGTGTCAAACATGCGCCTGCTAGACTACAATAGACGACAGCATCGCCCACGCGGTGCTCGCCATACTTCAATATTACCGTAGAGGTGAGCAGCTCGACAGTCTTTATATCACGAACAAAGTCTTACGGTGTGCTACACAATGTCTTCAGTGATATGAAAAAATGAGGATAACCTAAGACGAACGATTTGCTGATAACGTCACGTCTCCTGTAAATCATGCATACATTGCGAGGAAGCAAGAACTCGAAGATGCCATATGGCCCTTCATCGACACCAAGTGGGCGCAGAGTTGGATGTGTGGGAGCCATAGGGGAAGGGGATGCTGCGATGTGCAGATGACCCTGCAGCAGGCTTCTACGAAGCGCTGCAACTGGAGCGTACGACCCCGATTTGGCGCGGGTTGCAATCCGAGAATTTTGATTATAGTGTGGGTCACGATTGAAAATGTCTAATTGTTCTCCTCTCCTTGAGCAGAAATTTCTTTTCGCTTTGCCTAATCACCAGCGCAGTCGCCACAAAGCGTACCCGAGGAACCTTGAAAGGGGGCTTGGGAAGATGGGACGAGGCGGACGTCTTCCCAGGTAAATCTATCACCGGATAGTTTTGGGTTTGACGATGCGTACCAATAATCCACCATTTGGCATATGTGCATACGGCTATGTGCTTGCTGTACTTGATAGGTCTGCCACCAACTCACCACATCACGCATCATGATCGGGAGCTTCTGGAAAAGAGCGAACTGCGATAGCAATATTGGGTTGTCTGCTTTGGTGGCGATAATGCCGCAAACCGTAAATCGGTATTCCATTCCTGTAAATCACATGAAAACATCACGCGGCCAGCCAGTTGGCATGTTCCAAGATGTACCTTATGATTGGAGGAAACAGAGACGCCACACTCACCGGTTTCATTATTTCCTCTGAGGATAACTAAAAAAATTATTCAAGTTGAACGCATGACCAATAAATATTATAGGCATCTAGGCGGTATGCTGCCTCATGCTGAACATGTCACAAGACTCGAGATACTATAATGTCTCCTACTTCCGAGGTACTGGCATGATCAGTGAAACCGGCGCTAAAACCTCCGAGCGCTGGTAGGCTATGCACCTATGTGAATATTCATGGTGACCGCTGGAGCTCGAACTGGCGAAGAGCAACAACAGGATAGATTATCGTCAGGATAATACTTGATACAGGCACAAATCTCATAACAAGCTAACGTTACAGTACGTACTCGGAACAATCGTAATTTAGATGCAGATGACCAGCATTTCAAAACCCCCTAACGGGCCAAAAAAAAACAAGCAAATAGTGATGAGGCCAGATGTAAAGCTGGCGGGTACTAGGTGATGTATCGGGAATAAATGCTGGGGCGGAACCAAAACCAAGGAAGTCCAAATAAGCCTGCAAGAATGTCAAGAAACCTCTCAGCATGAGCGAGATAGTCAAGAATCCAGGAAAGAACACGGCAGATGGCAACATGATTAGACCATGACGAGTCTTCCCATAACGTACGTTCCTCCATTCACGAGGCCGACGTTCCCTACATCTTTGCCGCCGAACCCTACGGCTGGGCCAGGGAGGGTACCTTTCCACCCACATGGGTGGTATGGTGTGAGGCCAACAGTCTCATCCCATGAGTTGCGCTCCTCGACCCACTCGTTGGATACCTCGTCTTTGACTGCCGTAACGGGTGGGAGGGGGACGGCAGTCGCCTTTGTAGACTCTACGGGGAAAAGGTTGAATGGAAGAAGGGAAGTCGGTATCCATTGCGACGGGGACGGAGCACGACGTCGCCTCTTCGCAGACGCCTTTGGCTGTTCTGATGGTGACGTAGCCGGTTCATCACGAGTACGCTTGTTTGGTCGTGGATCAGAATCTGATGATGCGGCAGCACTCGAGGCAGCGGACGGCGGCAGGACGGATGCGACTTCCTGTGACGTCCCAGCAGAGTCACTAGATGTCATCTGGCTCGTGCGATTCGCAGTGTTTACGGGCTTAAGAATGCACCGCTTAACGTGACGGTTAAGATTAGACGCAACGCCAAAACGACGGCCACAAGTGTCACACACGAATGCTACAATTATAATTTCAAGTTTTAGCGTCGCACAGCCGCAGTAATTTTGTCACATACCTTTTTCTCCCGTGTGCACGAGCAAATGCTGCAAGGTAAAGACCCTTGACATGAGCTAGCTATTTATAGCGGCAAAGTAATATTGACCTTTCTCAACGTGGAGGGCCTATCAAAGGACTTCTCGCACATCCAGCAGGCATGCTTCTTCTCCCGTGGTCTTGGGCCTGAGCCTTCACTCTTGGTGTTGCGTGATGACGCTGACCTAGAGGAGCTTGCACATGCAGTGCGAATGGATTGTGTTATCTCTGCAGGGGTGGTGGAAGGCCCTGGTAATGCCAGGGCAGGTGGGAGCGGCGGCGGCGATGTTGAATGAGACGGAAGAACCATGTTGGACGAAGTTGGAAGATCAATACAGTAAGAGTGCGATGAAGAAGAAAAATGTGATGACGACGGGCTTTTATCGCATGCAGGGTATGGGTAGTGTAGTTGTTGCTGGTAGAATAAAGGCAGTGCGTCGGACCACTCACATGAGGTATGGCCGCCGGCGATGGTACGAAAGTTAGCTAAAGATGGGGGTATATCTAAAGATATAGGTGGTCCGGTGACCATGGCACGTAGGGCCGACGTTGTCGATGGGCCGCTATCTTGGAGAGAACATCTACCGCTCTGTATATCGTATGCGTCGTAGGTGGATGATCTTTCTAAGAAGCCTGAGACCCAATCCGACGTGTTTGACTGGGAAAGAGATGGACCGAGTTGAGCGCTCTGTATATGGTGCTGCCGAAAATTTGGCTGCCGGAGTAGAGGGCTTGGAGAGTGTAACATGGCGTAGAGGTCAGGGGGCGACTGGGTATGGACGAGGAGGACGAAGTCTGATGAAGTTCACGCCAATTCTGTGAGCAGGAAAGCTTATATATATAATTTGTTGGGTACATCCGTTGCAACCCTAAAGGTGCGAAGACATAAAGAAAACGAGGTCCAAATCTATGAAGGCCCAGGCAACAAGCAGCTGTTTTACGGCAGAATTTAGCATTCAACCCCAGCGGCTCACACCGTTTTCTACAATCGTAATTAGGCGTGGACCAAGCAGCTGGCTGGCGTAGCTCATCTGAGAACTCCGATAACTCATCTTGAACTCACCGTTTTCGCAGGAAGCCTCGGAGGCCCGCGTGTTGTTGAGGAAGATGACAGGCAAGCGCTGCGGGAAGGATCAATGTCATACTCTAATGGGTTGTCGGTCCGTGATAACAAAGGACTACTTCCCCCACTTGCACGCGTTGACTGAAGCAACAACATCTGAACTTCCACATGATTCTCGGCGGAGCGGAAATACCACGCTCGGTGAGGCCTCGTTGTCTGAGTAGTACAATGATGTCGCACAGGCTTCCTTTTCTGTGTCACTTCGAAGCTGGGCACGCAGGTGGGAGATATGAGGAACGACGATCCCGGTGGATTGAGATGCAATTGAGGAAATGAAGCATTCCTCGTGTATGATGGAAATAGAAGAAGAGCTCGCTGGATATGCATGCTTGAGTCTTATTCTCCTATACTTAGTTTAATAATTATTAGTCAGTAAAAATGACGCAGCCGCCGGTAGGAGGCGGGGGCACAGGAAATTCATTTCTGATTGCAGATAGCAACAAGATCAAGTTCCTTCATAGTTGAACTTCTTCAGGGCCCGAGGCTTAGGCGAAATCAATTACGTTTGTAGAGACTTGTTAATTTTCAAGGCTTTTGATAAACAATTACAAACAACGCTTCTTTCTGACCATGACAATAACAGCTGCCCAAAAGACAGCTATAGAGGAAGTCATTGAAATTATGGTTGCAACAACTCCAGCTCGAGGAAAACGTCAATTATCTGAATTGTTTATGGATCTGGTCGATAGATCAGAGTGGCCTGAATATTATGAGGTATTTCTAATATTCCGCGGAAACCAAACCCTACACGTATATATCCGAATCACATAGGTCATACCCGAACCCCGATGTATCAACGCCATCAAGTCAAGCGTTGAACGGAACAGATACAAGGACGCGCTCAACGCTTATACCGATCTGTCCCTCGTCTTTTGGAACGCGTTGTTCTACAATGAACCAGATAGTCAAATTGCTACTGATGCGCAGACTCTCAAGGTACGTTTTCCACTTCTTGTCCGCGGCGTAATTACCCTCAACACCATTTGGGCGTTCCGACCTTATCTATTCGCGTTTAGACTGTACTCGAAACTGAATGGCAGAAGAGAAGCATTCTTCCCGTGCCCCGACACTCGCCACCTCCCTCATCTGCTCAAAAGGTCCACGGAACGGGTCCCGCTGCACCGCCGCAGCCCTTTGTTATGCAGCCTTCTACTTCTACAACAACCAAACTAAGGACAACAGCCCCAACATCCGCTGTACCTCCAGCTTCCGAATCACAGACCGCCAAATCCACTCCTCTAAAGGGACCAGTGGCTACAGAAGAAAGGGTTGGGGATAGTGAGGCGATCGGCCGTCAGCTTGAGAAAACTCTCCCAAGATGGCAAGGCGTTGGTGAACTAGGGATGTCCGAGGTCAGCAAGGCGAGTATTCATGAATAGACTGCTCAACCGTGGTGATGTTTAATCCCCGTTTTTATACTTACATACTCGCTATGCCACAGGACCGACTGGTCGAAATTGTGCACAGTCCTCCTAAGACTCACACGCACGAGGACAATCGTGACCGGACCATGCTGACCGCGGCAGGGAATTTGACTGTTCCCCCAATTGTCGACAAGCTTCCCCCCGAAACGAGTAGGTTTCTTGTTATTTTTCTTCAAACCCGCTTACACGTTGTGTTAGCAAAACATTTCGATCGCTCTCCAGACACAAACGAGCTGTTCTGGTTTTCCGCTCCTCCAATGAATACCGCGCGAACACCAGCCCCACAGCATAGTCTGGCGTACTTGCATTTCTTGGCGACGAAACGCAAGAAAGAACTCGGCGAGGACTCGGACGTCATGGATGTCGACGGTGAAGCTGCAACAGGTCTTTCAAATCGACAGCGCACAGTTGCGCCTCCAACAGTTACCGAATTTCTGCAAGCAGCCATGAATTCAGCATCTACCGAGTACCTTTAGACAATTCATCTGTTCCCATCGGTATGATAACCTAAGTTGAGTTTTTTTTTGTCTGCCTGCCTCGTGCTCATTGGTCGTCATGCCATACAGACTTAATTGCTACTCAGAAGAATTTCATCCTTTTGATAGCTCCTCCAATGCTATTTTTCAACATTGTCCAACTTATTCGTCTAATTTATTCTGCATTTATCCCGCACTATTTAAGCACAAACTTGAGTCGGGAAGAACTCAAGCCATCTGTGTAATGTCTAGGTGAAATATACTGCAACGTATACTGGAGTCAAGTTGGACGTAAGTCATATATCCACGCACCGAAATATCTTGATTATTACTAGATGTCCTTAGTGTGAGACGTTGATACTGTTAGGTTACCCGATTCTACCACTACCTTTACGACTACATCGCGATAGGTCATTAATGCAGTCTTGAATAAGTACATCCTCGTGCCGTTCAAATCCGCGGAGAGCGTAATATTGTCAGTGTCGACAAGTGACGCAGAACATCTCCTATGCTAAGTAATCGAGTGTGCTTCGCGAGCAAAAATCAAGGAGATGGTGCTCGACAAACAGTGATTAGCAGCAGTTTAACATTGTTCTTTGGTTCCAGACACGTTCATCGAAGATAGGTTCCAGCCATTACGTTCAGCATGACGACGAAGCGGCAAGACCGATCTGGGGGCGGAATCGGCCACAGATCAAAATTTTATTTACGGTGCGTCCCAAATTGTGATCCTACAGTAAAAGGTTCGAATATTCTTCCCAGGGATAGTACTCCCCATTCAACCTTGGGGGGCCTCAAGCACTTGGATCTTCAGAGCGATCATTGTTGCCTTCGACCTCCCTCACAATGCCTTTCCATCTTCCTTCCTGTAGCTTCGAGGTTGGAAGGCAGTCAAGAGATTCCCCTTCGCAAACTACGATATAATGGCGGCCTCCCCAGTCTCCAACAAGACGAAGTTCTTCCCACCGCGAAGTTTTCTTTGTCGCCATACTGCCCGGTCGTACCGTTACGTGTACATATGTATTAAGAACTCACTCGACGGACTTTTGGACAATATGTACGTAGTATGTAATGGATCTAGTGGTATTCCCCCCCCTACATAAAGCAGACCAAATAGAAGGAAACGGCAGTCATTTATTTCTTCTTTATTATGGGAATAATTCCCAGCGACTGGCCAGGCCTCGTGCCGCGCATATATGTGCTGTTTTTGAATTTTGAATTTCCTACTGAATACATTATTACGAGTGGCACGTCCAATTGCGCACTGAAGTACTCGCGAGAAGAACTCGTTTCCTCTTGTAATTGGTATCTGAATCTAGAGGTAATTTCCTGATCGCGGCTTCTCCTGCGGCATGCCCGAGACCTAGGTCTAAGCTCATTACGGAGGCGTGGCTCCTTGTATGTGAATATTCGAAACTTGCAGGAGAAGCTAGCGGACTAATTCTACTGTTCATAATTATGCGGGCTCTAGAACTTTGCGGCTTTTCTATTTCTCGAAGAGGATCCCTGGTTTTTTTACCGCTAGCTAACCAGGTACATAAATATCAATCGGTGTGACAATCTTTACAAGACATGATCCTAATATGGGAGCTCGCTGATCAAGTCCTCGTGCCACTTGCAAGCTTGAGATCTTGAGATATGACAAACCCACCGAAAGAGCATCATCGCCTTCGGTCGATTCATCTTGTAAACGTTTGCAAGGGTGCACTGGCTCTATGATACACTTCTGATCTTCAAGTTGGCGCCTTCACATCCGGGGAATTAAAGACTGGAAACAGTGGAGTAGAGTGGAGTATGAAATTTGAATTGTAGGTCTAGAAGAGAATGAAAGAATGCCAGAAGCATGTCTACATCTCATGATCAATCAAAATATTTTATTTAAATAACGACGGAAGTTTATATCTCGCAATATGATGGGAACGACGGGGTGTACGAAATTGAAATACAGAGAAACTCCGTGACCTCGCTTTGCCTATATTTTGTGCGTCATACCAAGATGTGCAAGATTGCGAAAGACGGCACTAGCCTATAAGAAGTCCACATCACAGTGCGTCCAACAGTTCAAGGCCGGAAACACCTTACTTAAACCATTGGCATGGAATCGGGGTGTTGCCTGCTGTGTGTAGTGTGGAGAGACGTAGTAACCGTCCGCGGCGGAGGTGTGAATGAACCTTGCAGAGAGGGGTAAGCCGTCTGGGGCTGGGGAGAGTACACAGTCCCATATTGCAACGAAGACGTGGACTGCCCATACAACACAGGAGAGCCGAACGACGACTGAGAAAAGTTGGATGGATCGGGCGGAAAACGATTGGGTGTCATGCGAGTTGCCGCGCCGGCGCCTCTGTTTACGAATGGCTGCTGGTTGATGACAGAGGCGTAAACTCCTTTCTTGTACACGTGGCGTTTGTACAGTAGATAGGCGCCGACAGCAAAAAGCGAGAGGGCAGCCAAGGTTCCGAGGGTGCCACCAACTATCGCACCCACGTCTGAACTGCTAGATGACGAGCTTGAGCTCGAATTGCCTGGGGTGATGCTAGAAGAGTCTGGACCAAATAAACAGCAGTGATGAAGAGATGCAGCCATAGAATCAACCTGACATACTCTTTTGATAAGTGGCGTTCGCATCTGGGGTATTGAACATCTCGTATGTCCATGTTGACGCTAAAAAAACTCATCAATTGGTACCATGTCTTCGGAAGACAGAACAAACTCACGATTAGTAGTAGCCCAATAAGGTATGGACGCATCTCCAGCAAGCACATATCCAGAAGGGAAATATCTATAATTATAAGATATTGTGAGCGAGCTCAACAAACATGAAACGCGAACAAACTCTTGTGTCCATGATTGGTTTGTGGCGCATCCATCTGCCCATGCAGGCCATCTATGTGATCGTTAATATTTTCCGAGGAATACAAGAGGGATGACTTGCTCCCAGACAGAAGAATCATTAGCTCCTTGGCATAAAGTGCAGGCCATCATAAGATTATAGGACGACCAAGAACTTCTCTAATATTAGAACGATCGAAAACACAGCTGTCACCTCCACCTACCAATAGCAAGGATTCGCAGTCGAAGAATTTGGTAACGAGTACGAATAGCCGCTGTCCAGGACTGGCTGGTTGTAGTCTTGAGCGTGCACATGAGTTTACAACCAAGAAACAAGGGAAATCCACATACTGTTCCCAGTGCACGCACCCTCTACATAAGCGACCGTAAGACAAGGCGAGTAGCCCTGACTGTCGTCCATCCATGAGTATCCATCAATGCAGGCGGCAGGTGAGACGATGTTGCGCCTGGCTGGCTGCACTTGTACAGCCATAGTAGTTGAAACACTTGAAATCACAGACACAGAGAGATAGAAATTTAAGGATGTGACCGTAGTGTGGGCTCAGAGATGCACTGCCAAAGGGTCAGGGATGTGGGCAAGCATGCGGGTTGTCCTAATGAGTACAAGCATGTTCTTATCACCACGTTCCGACGCGGCATATCTGATGTCCTTGATGGAATCATGGCATAAGTAATGTATGTTACGAAGCCTGATGAATATTTGAATCACCGATTGGCAAGCGCTGAGTTGAGTCTGGTCTGGGGTATGAAATTTAGTCAAAAAGTAATACTAATACGGAATAGTGTAAACAAGTTCAAATTTGTTAACGTAAACTTTCAAACAAGTCTATGACTAAATAGGTTCATGTCATCAACCCAACACATTCGCCTTGTCTTCAGAATTGGCATCTAAACCAGAACCATTTCAGATTGCGTCACAAGATCGGTTCACCGAGCGCTTGTGCGGCTACAATGCGGCTGTAAGTAGCTTTCTTATTTACCCATAGCGATACCGCTGTAAGAGAAGAACGAAATAGAGTAAGAGATGCGAGCGGCGAGCTAACGTGAGTGAAGTTCGTCCTTGTAGCTCTTGTAAGGGTCGGGGCTCACGACTTGATGAAAGCGGGATTAAAAAAGAAAGCTCAGCATTGTTGGCAGAAACCGCTATGACATTTTAGTACCTAAAAGACAAAGCTAGAAATGAAGTAGTATGAGTAAGAGACAGTGTGCAAGGAGACGTGAACTATACCTCAGCGTTATTGACAGAACCGCTGATCAGAGGTGTAAACAAAGTAATATGAGATTATAATCTATGTTAAAGAGTCCGTGATGACAAACGAAAGAAAAGGAATACTGTCAATGTTACGTTGAACGTTCAACATGAGGTACCGAATGCGGGTGCCTCTGATATTTCAAGTATAAGAAACTTGAAAGATCACCTTAGTGTTAGACCATTGGTATGGCATCAGAACGTTGGCTGTTACCAGTATGTGTAGTGTAGACGGACACATCCATCCGTGGAACGGGCAAGGATGAGCCATGTGGAGATAGGTATGCAGTCTGATACTGCTGGGACGGAGATACGGACTGCCCATACATGGCAAGAGGGCCCGACATTGATGTAGCAAGATCGGATGAATCGGAGGGGATGCGGTTATGTGACGATGGTATAAAGGTCGTCCCTTGTTGGTTGATAGCCGAAGCATAACCTCCTTTCCTGTATACGTGGCGTCTGTACAATAGATAGGCGGCAATGACAAGAAAAGAGTGTGCGGCTGCGCCTCCGATGGTACCGCCAACTATCGCGCCCACGTCCGTTGATTTTGAGCTTGAGTTTGAACTGCTAGATGATGGGCTTGAACCTGAACCACTAGATAATGATGAGGCGCCCGGGGTGATGCTAGAGGAATCTAGACCAGATCAACAACAGTGATGAAGAGATCTAAACAACCTAACATACTCTTTTGATAGGTAGCGTTCGCATCTAGGATATTGAATGTCTCGTATGTCCATGTTGACGCTAAAAACTCATCAGTTGGTATCTTGCATTCTGAAAACAGAACCAACTCACGATTAGTAGTAGCCCAATAAGGTATGGACACATCTCCAGTAAGCACATATCCAGAAGGGTAATATCTATAAGATATTGTGAGCGCAGCTCAACAACTATGAATCTTGAACAAACTCCTGTGTCCAATTTTGGTTCGTGGGACATCCAGCTGCCCATGCAGGCCATCTATATAATCGTTGATATTTCCCCGAAAAATACGAGACAGATGACTTGCTCCGAGACAGAAGAAGTACTAACTCCTTGACATAAAGTGCAGGCCATCATAAGATTATAGGACGACCAAGAACTGCTCTAATATCAGAACGATCGAAGACGCAGTTGTCACCGCCACTTACCAGTAGCATGCATTCGCGTTCGAAGAATTTGGCAAGTTGTAAAAAGTGTCGTTGAGCAGAATTGGCTGATCATAATCTCAGAGAGCGCGCATGAGTTTACGGCCAAGAAAGAAGGAAAATCCACATACTGTTCTCATAACATGGAGCTTCTACATAAGCGACAGTAGTACAAGGCGAGTAGCCCTGACTGTTGTCCATCCATGAGTATTCACTCATGCAGGTGGCAGATGAGCCGATATTGCGCTTGACTGGATGAACTTGTACGGCCGAGACAATCAAGACACCTGAAATCACAGACATAACAAGATAGAAACCTGAGGACGCGACTATGGTGTGGGCTTAGATGGACTGGAAGAGGGCTAGAGATGTGAACAAGTGGGATACGGGCTATCCTAATGAGTGCAAGCATGCTCTTATCTCCAGGTTCCAGCGCTCGGAAGAGGCATATACCGCATATCTTCTTCTGATGAGCTTGATAGAATCATGGCATATATCGTAAGATCTAACCGGGTTATAAAGATCTTGCCTGATGAATCACCCGCTAGCTGAGCGCTGAATATTGAATATTGAGTCTGTGTCATGTGAGTTGGGATATGAGCCTTGTGGTGTTCAAACAAGTTCAAATTTGTACAACGCCACCACTACGTACAATGCGTGACGTCATCGACAAGATAACGAGTAAACGATAAACGATGTTTCATTGGCTAACTACGCTACTGATGTAACTCAGGCACCACATATAGTAAGTACCTCGTCAGCTCATTGAAGAGAAAATTACACGAGAAATTATGAGCGTGGATGGAGATATTGTAAGTGTGCAGGTAAATCAAATGAGCGCTGAGCATGTCCGACCGATGGATTGACTATACGCCTATAAGCTCCCCATATTTGCGCTGCCAATCGAATGCTCGCAATATGCCACGTGTGCGCAATTTTGGTTGCCACCACTGTTGAAAATTGGTACGGCGGGTTGATCGACGGTACAGTGCCCAGGTAATATCGGGATGCGTGCATTGGCCAAACAGAAGCATCATCGACGAACAGGCATCGTGCGGAGCGCAGATACAATTCTGTTGTTGGAATAGATGTTTTTGCTTCGTGAAGAAGCACGGAAGTTGAATCAAACACTTCCTGCGACGACCTATTGCGCGTTTCCGCGAAACGACGACACTCGACAAATAGATTAGTGCTGCTGTGGTCCGGTTCTCTGTGGTCCGGTTCGGTTTTTTTCTGGTCCGAACTCGAACCGAACCTGAAAATTTTCAGTGGTGAGCGTGAAAAAAAAATCATTGAAAGACTAGTTTACACATCAAGTAGCTACTCCAATGACATGGCTACATATGACTGTAGCCGCTGATCCAAGAGCTGACTGATTTGATCTATACAAATGGTGAGAATGAAATAAAACACAATAACAACCAATGCTTACCGTCGATGTTAGTGGGTAATGTGAACCTGCGGCGTCTGATCCAGACAAGCAATTTGAAGTAAGCTGCCTTGTAAGGCACGCATCAGTGAGAGTGTTTGCCAGAATTGAAATCATTTTACCTCTGTCGTTAGCGAAGGAAGACATTCAGGACAATGAGAGAGGTACGTGCGGTTTGAGTTGCGCCTCCATTCTCAGATGTTGCCGTCACCTTTTTGTATACACAGAACAGGGAGAAAACACCTGCACGTCTCGAGTGAGAGGTGGCGGGTGAGAGACAGCGGGGTGAGAGACAGTGGGTGAGATACAGCTAGCACGCCGAAGAGAGATAGTATCACGGCCACCGGAAAAAATGCGTTCAACAGCAACAGCTGAGCCCGGAATAGCGAGAATATCACGAGCCAGACGTGAGAGGTCATTGAGGTATGTTGGGAGTGGGCAGCGCACCTTGTTTGTCTCCTCGACAACTTTCTTTCTCCCATTCCTCTTCTCCTTTCTCTTTCCCCCGGTGTCTTCCTTTCTCCTTCACCAAAGTGTCATCCGCATTCGCCTTAGCCATGCCAGCATTTGCTGGCGTGTGCTGGGCGCATGCGCTAGACACTGGTTGTTGCTGGAGTGGGGTAGTGATTGCAGCAAGTGGTGGTGGTGGTGGCGGCACGGTTGACTCAATCAGTAAATAAAATGAAAACAGATATACAAATAACTACCTTGAGGACAGAGTCTTGAGAGTTGATTGATTAGTACTAATCTTCAAAAAGGCTAAAAGTAGCCTAATTAACCAATAGTGCAACTCCTGAAGACGACACTTTGACGTCATCGTAGTTGAAGTCGAAGTCGAAGTCGAAGTCGACAATGGGTTCGGGGTTCGGAATGGTTCGGGAAGGTCGAACCAGAACTGGACCATTTGGGAAGATCTAGAACCGAGAACTGTTTTCCGGTCCGGTTCTGGCTGGCGCGAGAACCATGGACCGAACCACAGAGAACCGGACCAAAAGTCCGGTTTGAACCATGGTTTTGGACTGGACTGCAGCAGCACTAAAATAGATGGTGTGGAGTCTCCAAGCACTTGCATCCAAAGCGGCACCATGGAGAGGTATTTTGCAGACGAGTGAAAAACACACTCGCAGTGGCCAATTGTCATGACCGTGCATAGAGTTGTACCAATGCCGCAAATGCATATGGTGTGCGCACATATGGGTGTTCTGGTGGAGCATGCGAGTCATAAAGAGGCAGCGCGAGGGTACTGCGAGGCTTAAAGGTCGGATCAGCTGCAGCGCTGCACGAGAGTATGTAAGTAAGTAAAGAAGATATAGGAGACTCAACGAATTTTGAAGTCGAAGAATATAGCGAGAAAGTATTGAGTGTAAATGTCGCGGATGGAACAGGATAAGGGCAAATTAATTGAGTATGAGAATCACGAGCAAATGTATCGACAATCGCATTAGCTTGGGCAGGAAGGGAGGATGAAGTGGTGTGAGCCTTGATGTGTGAGAGAGTGGGAGGATTAGAAGAGGATGATAGAATGGATGATAGCCAACGATAGAGTGAATGCGCGGGTAATGTAGACCAGGAGTGGGGTAGAAGGGGCGAGACGATGCTTGATTCAATAATGCATACAGCATTTAGATGATCGCTGTGAATTGTGGTGTTTGGCACACCGCCTGAACGAGCCAACAAAGCGGATACAATAAGACCATACACTTCCCGTGGAGGATGGTTGCTCCGTTAGCGTAGTTATCCAAAGACCCCACAAGTGAGCCTGTCACAGCGGTGAAGGTACAACAATTCAGATGGTGAGTCTGAACAATGTTGGGTCTTGCAGAACCTAGCTGCTATTCGACCCTAAAGGGTTTCTGGACCAGGCTCAAGGCTCAGAGAAGAGGAAATATGATAGAAACTTGCTGAATACTCAGACTCATAGTAGAACTGGTGAAAAGGTAACTTGATTATGTAAGCTACAAAGTGCCAACATAAGGTAAGGTAAAGACAGTCTCTACAAGCCTAGCCAGAAATGAATCCCTACAGCGGTTACTGCGAAAGTTACGGAACGTACACAATTGAAGTTCGCCTGGGGTGGTACCATTGAACCATCACAAGCGATCAGGGAATCTGGCAGAAGCTGATGTGGGAGTTGGGGGGAAACATGTACAGCACCAAGTAGGGCTAATTCAGCATAATGTTGCCTAACAGCCCGTGGAATAAGTAGTGAGGCTTGGTCAGGCAAAGGTATGGCACTGGGTTGGATCCCAAGATAGATATTGGACAGGGCACCTGGATTGAGAGATTGTAGCCAACCACCAAGCATGCAAATTGTCGCGGGAGAAAGTCGCAGGCTAAGACGAGGAAGGTCCGCGGGTTGGGCAGTGAGGAGGTCACCAAGCCGCGAGTACCCTTCAGTCTCAAGAACTGAAATGAGATATGGGGAGAGTGGAAAGGAAGAAGATGGACATGCACGCAAAAGATGGCGAAGAGCGATGTCGCCAAGCAGGAATGACTGATCGGTAGTTGGTACACTGAGCTCAGAGTGCCGCAGAGTCTCATGTGCGATAATCCAAGTCATAGGTAAAGCACGCTTCAGCCGTATAAAACTCTGCTGCAAAGAAGGCCCATCCAAAGGGTACATGCAGTGGTTCAGGCTGCACATCCAGTCGGACAACGTAATCGCTGCCATGGTATGAAAGGCCGGGATGTGGTGATTAAGGTCACGTAACATACCCTGGAGTGCGAGTGTGTCATTGAGACAGGAGATGGAGGCAAAGCCCATGCCAAAGAGGTCAGTGGGCAAGGAGAGAAGTGTGGAATTGAAATGGAATGGGAAGTGGTAGTAGTCGTGCACATGTCGTGCAATCATATGATCCAGTTGTTGTGCTTGCATTCTTGTTACTGGCTGGAAGGCAAGAAGGGGGCGAATACGAGACACGAGACACTGTGATATAATGCGACGTAGAGCAGTGAGTGGTAATTGGCAGTGCATACGAGGGAAACTGAATGAAACAATGATGTCACGTATTTTTGCAAACTGTGTGAGTGGATCATTGACAGACACACACAAAAATTCGATGTGAGATGTAATCACGCGAACAGAGCACATACACACTGTTGGTGAAGTCGGGTCAGCGGGCCACACTGAGGGCAGTGAAAGAGACATCGGAGGATCAGGGACATTGAGAACAAACACCGCTGATTTGTCCCAATTGGTGAGCCATCCATAGGCAGCCTGAAAACGCTCCATTGCCAAACAAGACCGTTCGAGTGATGGTAGACTCCCTGCAAAAAGCAAGGAGTCATCTGTTGCCTCACACATTGCAAGTGCAAGTGATAGGCGGTCTGCTGGGACATGCTCCCTATGATCCATATGCTGGATGGAGGAGATAGTGACTCCATCGTGATGCGCAAGGAAGAGATCATGAAGCCAGTGGTTACCGAGACTGGTTGTGAGTGTTGACTTGAGGGGAGAAATCGGGCCACCTTGCTTTGTTACACCAGTGATAGTCAAGGGTTTGGTTAGTCCATATGCGGTATGCACGCAGTACGGAACCTCCGACTGTGCTGACGAGTCGAAATCGATGATGGTTTGTGGAAGACCGTAAGCAGCGATGGCATCATAAAATCCTTGAGGTTCGAGTTTGTCGAAGCCTTTCTGTTGGTCTCTGCGAAGGAGGAATAATGGTGTGTGATGACGATTTGACCAACATTCCAACTGCGAAAGAAAGGATGTCAGGTCCCTTCCTTGAACAACCGGTTGTGTTGCAACCTGCCCTTCGGGAAGGACATGAAGTCTAGCGAGGTAAGGGATAAGAAGTGAATTGAGCCATGCGAAAGGGATGTTGAGCAAGAAGTTACTGCAACAGATTCCACGGTAGTTGGCGAGTGATGTCCGTGGGCCTCATTTGTAAATAGTCGTCATGTTGGTTGGTTTCACCGATGCTGGAAAATGTGAGTTGCAAATTTCGTAGTTGATGAGCTGAAGCACGAGACGGAGTGCAGTGTCACTGAGTGACTTCACACACCACTTTTCCCAGTTGTCAGGTCCAGGGCTCGGGCAAGGATTGCCTTTGTGCAAAGTTGCTCGCAGGGACTCGACTGTCATTGCCACTGGCCAAGTAAAGGGGTCTCGTGATGTTCGTGATTTGATGGATAGTGCGGACGGTGTTTCCAGCCATGGCTTCTGCACTGTGGGATGATCCCACCGAGTAAAAAGGTCAGTGAAATATGTCTGAGTCTCCCGTTGGATATCCTCGGCGGACGTGAAGAATTTCATCCTATCTCCCGGATGAGCAAGGGCGAGAGGCGGACCACCATGATATATTCGGGGATAGAGTTTTTTTGCAGAGGATCCCATGAGCACAGCTCGAATATGACCTTGTGCTGACTGTTGGGCCCGACTTCGCAATTCTTTACGTTCCTCAACGTAACGAATGCGAGCGAGTGTGCGACATAGGGACAGGAGATATTGCAGAAATTGGGGTGCCTGGTCCCCTTGAGCAATAAGAATGCATCCATGAGTATGAAGATAATTGACAACCCAAGGAGCCTTAGAGGCTAGCTCGGGGATGCGGTGAGTACGTGTCGCAGCGATCAGTCGCCCTAATCGATGTGTCTCACGGACAAGGATGCGGATGGTGGGATTAATGATTTTGCGTGCACCACCCTGCGCCCGGGTCATCCACCGTGGCTGTTCAAAGTGAAGGCTAGCCGCATTGCAAATAATGTCAGTTAAGGCATGATATAATGCATCAAAGGAAGAGTCATCAGCAACAGATGCATCAGAGAGACCACGCAGAAGTAGTTGGTGATCAACTTCATTTGAGAAAGCAATGAAGTGTGCACGTTCGTGGCATTTTGGGTACAAGGGCCGAACACGTTGATTAATAGAGTTTGTCCGATTTGAAGGGAAAACAGGGTTCTGACCATCGGGGGCTGACAGAGACAATATAGCACGAATAGGTCGGTGGTCGGTGCTTCCTATGAAGTAGTCGATAACCTCAATCTCAGAGGATTGGACACCGTCTGTGGAATGCACAGCATGGTTGATGACTGATTGGCCAAGGTGATTGCGAAAGGTGTAAGTGAGTGCCACATCCACATCTCGTTGAGCGTCCCAAATGTCAATGGCGTGACAGTCACGCAGGAATGTTCGATATTGAAGCTGGGTCTGAGAAAGCGAAGTGGACCGAGAAGAGCTTTCACTGGTGTTGAGTGTAACATTGCAATCGCCAATTAGAGACCAGGAGTAGGGAGATTGCTGGCAAAGTTGTGTGACTGACGGCCAAAATGCAGGTGAACAGTCGGGATCAATACCTGCACAAGTTCCAGGGTCCCAGGGGGCGTAAACACCAATGAGACGGTGAGGAAAACCCCCATTCGGCGTAGGTATGACAAGGTCAACAGCAACCACTCTACCCTGCAGTGATGAAGCAAAGGAACTGTCAACATATTGAGCATGAATTGTGTTCGAAACTCCGAGAATAACGCCCCATTTGCCTTGAGCAGGGGAGCCCGTGGTGCGCACACCAGGGTTTTCATGTGTTATATCCAGGTGCACGGACATGGGAGGCCGCAGGTGTCGGCAATTTGGTCTCATTGATCACCCAGATGTGTGGCCGATGCTGTTGTAGCATGGAGGAGATTGCATTACATTTCATGAGGTCTCCTACGCCATTAGCATTAAGGGATACAATGTGAAGCGGATGAGACGCATGAACTATCATCGGAAGAAGGAGCAGACCGAAAAGAACAATCCAAGCACGGGAGGACACTGGCGAAGCGATCACAAATAAAGATTGAACGAAAGCAAACAGAAGATGTAGAAGAGAATAGCAGACGCAGGCGAAGCGAGACACAAGTACTGAAAGTGAAGCTGGTACGAAAACACGGACGACGGACACAAGGCATTGGCATAACAGCAAGCGCCGCTTTGCTCGCTCATGCACCATACTCTGACCTCTCCCACTGTCCACCCATTTACTATGGAACAGAGGGCAATTGATGGTCAGAAGTGACGCGAAGAAAACTGCATACAGCCAGCATACCTCCTGTTCCATACGGTCCAGATCACGAGACGGACCGGCTGGTGAAAAAGGTTGCTGCCCAGATGGCAGAGAAGGAACAGAAGCAGCGTCATCAGACATGCGCTGATGAGGTTCATAACGATGGTTGTCTTCCTCCTCAGGAGGTGGCCTCTCATGAGACATGGGGACATTACCACCATGCCCCACAGGTTGAGAGGAGTCAGTAGGAGCGGGATGAGGCATGGATTGACCAAGGAACTGCGTTCCCTGTGCAAATTGTAGGGCAGACAGCTGCTGAGCAATGGTGTCTTTTTCCTTCTCGACCCGGTCATGGTCATGCTCCGTCTCGGCTAAGAGAGTGTCCATCCTAGCGCGCTGGGCAGACGAAGGCTTTCCGTCGAGGGTCTCTCGGTAACGGACCATGCGCTCCTCAAGGCGGCCGCAGGTAGATTCAAGGGATGCATATCTTGCGGACAGCGCAGCAGAAGTCGAAACAGCGCAAATAGAGGCCATCATTTGCTGTGCAACCTCGTTTTGCTTCTCGAGAGCACGCCAGGTCTGTGCAAGAACCTGATTAACTGTGCCTACTGTCTCTGCTCCTTGTCTGCGTAGTTCATCGACCTGAACTTGGAGGTGTGACACTTGAGGTGACGAAGAGCCTGCAGCACGGGAAGGGTTTGCTGGGGCTCCAACGGAGTTGAAAAGATACAGAAGGTCAGGGACACCAACGGTGATGTTACGGAATCGAGTCCATGAGGACGGGAGGCCCTCACCAAAATCCTCGAGGAACTGGTTAGTTGTTTGCCAGTTACGGAGAACGACGGTGTAAGTGCTCCCTTCAAGAGCGACACGGGAGAACCGAACCACATCTTGCCCATATTTCTTTCTTAGTTCCGCATTAAATTGAGCTTGAGGGTTCTGGAGAACCTCGCATCCGCCGATAGCAATCTCTCCACCATACGTAGGTTCAACAAATCGAGGGCGAGTAGGATGGTAAGTGTGGTGGTTGACATAGGGTGGCGCGGTTAATACAGTGTCAATGTCCTCTGAACGCAAGAGATCAAAGGAAATGCGAAGTCGTCCACCAAGGTTGCTAGTTCGGTCCTGTTGGAAGGCGAAATTACGAGAACGGAACCATTCACGTAGTAGCGGGTGAACTGTCCTCATCTCCTCTTCCGAGTTAACCTGAAAAATAAGTCGACGGCTTTTATCAGCGCCCCTTCCAGCACGCCATTTAGCATGCACGTTTCCTTGATGAAGGTCATTGATGTCAGTCAACAACTGTTGCAGAATGTCGGGCCGAGGTACAGAGGATAGTGCAGGATGTAGCGAGACATGGACATAATCCAGGTTGCCAGATACATCTCCTTTTCGGATAATGATGTCTGGTGTAGCTTTTTGTTGTTGTAGTTGACGGAGAAGACGTTCGAGATGAGTCCTGGCAGACGTCGGAGATGTATGATCGAGGCCGATGACAGTCAGCTCCATGCCTATTGCTGACGATCCTTCGACGTTAACGTCTTCATTGGACGGTGATGAGGGTCGGTTTGTGAATGAGGGTAAAGGAGGGTACTGAGGAGCAGGGGGGAGCTGGTAGCTGGTGTGATGTAAACCGGGAGGAATAGGGGGCTGTAACGACGCAGAAGGTTGATTCATTTCCGATAACGCTTTAATTGGGCTTGGGCTCGAGTAATCGTACGACGAAACCCTTATATAATCAGGTCTCATGACTGGATGTTGAAGTTGCTTCGACTTGTCTTCTCTCGATCCGAACCGTTTCAGATTGCGAATATTAATTCAACCCTGTACATGCGGCTACAATGCGGGTGTCCCCATCGCCGCCATCCACCAATTCACTCGAATTTTCGAAGATCTCCACTTGAAATTTAGCAAGTATAGTATTAGTCTTCGTCCTGTAAAGCTCGGAAGGGTGCCGCTGATGTCGCTTTCCATGAAGATCGTGCGAGTCGCCAACTGGGCTCTGGAAAAGAACGAAGGAGCAACAGAAGCATGCTAAGTAATTTCAATAAGAACATTGTTATTTTATGTAACAACGGCATTATCATCGTGACATCATCATAAGACGGCGGGAACGACGGCGTAAAGTGCTGATAGAATGCAGAGTAAGAAATTCTCTGATCCCCGTCGGTGGCTTGTCATGGTAAATTTTCGAAGGAGATTGATAATAGGTATGAGGTACCGAATGCGGGCGCGTCAAGTATAAAAACTTGTAAGATGCACCTTACTGTTAAACCATTGGTATGGCATCACCAGGTCGGCCGTTGCTAGAATGTGTGGTGTAGACTGTCATATCTGTCCGTGGAATAGGCGAGTATGAACCTTGTAGAGATGGGTATGCTGTCTGAGGTTGTGGAGAATATGAAGTCTCATACTGCTGCGAGGAAGATACGGTGGGCTGCCCATACAGCGCAAGAGAACCTGACATTGATGCAGAAAAGTTGGATGTATCGGAGGGGATACGGTTGTGTGTGCCCGACTGTGGTATAAAGGTCGTCCCTTGTTGGTTGATAACGGAGGCATTCCTGTATACGTGGCGTCTGTACAGTATATAGGTGGCAATGACGAGAAAAAGGAGTGCGGCTGCGCCTCCGACGGTGCCACCAACTATCGCACCCACGTCAGTTGACTTCGAGCTTGAACTTGAACTGCTGGAAGATGGGCTTGAACCTGAACCGCTAGATGACGATGAGGCGCCCGGGGTGACACTAGAAGAATCTGAACCAGGTCAACAACAGTGATGAAGAGATAGAATGAACCTAGCATACTCTTTTGATAGGTAGCGTTCGCATCTGGGATATTGAACGTCGCGTATGTCCATGTTGACGCTAAAAAAAATCATCAGTTGGTACCATGCGTTCGCAGAGAGGGAATTAACTCACGATTAGTAGTAGCCCAATAAGGTATGGACGCATCTCCAGCAAGCACATATCCAGAAGGGAAATATCTAAATTATAAAATATTGTGAGCGAGCTCAACAAACATGAAACGCGAACAAACTCTTGTGTCCACGATTGGTTTGCAGCGCATCCGTCTGCCCATGCAGGCCATCTATTTGATCGTTAATATTTTCCGAGGAATACGAGACAGATCACTTGCTCCCAGACAGAAGAATCATTAGCTCCTTGGCATAAAGTGCAGGCCATCATAAGATTATAGGACGACCAAGAACTACTCTAATATCAGAACAATCGAAGACGCAGTTGTCACTCCCACTTACCAGTAGCATGCATTCGCGTTCGAAGAATTTGGCAAGGTGTACGAGTAGCCGCTTTGCAGTACTGGCTGGACATAGTCTTAGAGAGTGCACGTGAGTTTAAAGCCAAGAAATATGGAAAGTTCACATACTGTTCTCATAACATGGAGCTTCTACATAAGCGACTGTAAGACAAGGCGAGTTGCCCTGACTGTCGTCCATCCACGAGTATTCACTCATGCAGGTGGCAGATGAACCGATATTGCGCTTGACTGGTTGCACTTGTACGGCAAGGATAGTCGAAATATATGGAATTATGGGCAGAAAACGATAGAAACACAAGGACACCATGTTGGAGGAGCCACACGCTGGGATGCACTAGGGGGATGTAGGCAACCAATACCAATCATGCGGAGCGAGGAACAAGAATGTCAGGCTTATCGTAACGTTACTTATTAGAGATCTCGTCTGGTGACCTGAGCTGAGAACAGAAATGTCTGTGCGCGGACCGGACATGATGTGTGAATCAAATGAGCGCTGAATGGACCAACTTGAAGGTCTTTCCAGTGTACTACACGTGGGAATTTTGAAACAACTACTAGTTGACTCGTTGTATGCTTCAAGCCTTAAGCCCACACTGGCCAGCAACTCGACAACGAAGTACTTAATACCCTCTAATTACGGGAAATGACTTCGGAGATGGGCATCTGGAAGCCTCATCCAAATCAGTTTCAGGCTGTGTGTCACAGCCCTCAGTTGCTAGTACTGTAATGTACATGCGGCTATGTCATTACTAGCCGACCACCCTCCATCTGTCAACTTACCTGACCCTTTTGACGCCAAGGAGTCAGGTCCATCTTCGAAGTTCGGTAGCAGTCTTCAAACTTCCCCAGTTCGTAAAAACTGAGATATTCCTGGTTTACCCATTCCTATCATGGTCATTCGCATTATTACCAACTTGGTCCACGCCGCACGGAGCTTCATGCCGAGAAGTGATAGTGGGCGCACCTACTATTCGAGACCTATGGCCCGCGTTTAGCCGTACAACATCTCCCAGCCGCTTCACCTGTCACCCCGCAGCCAAGTTGTCACCCTCCGTCCGCTGTCACTGCTTCCTCTCTTGGTCATATTTACTGTCGTCAGCGGTCGACTTGCAGGTCGTTACTTCATTGCTATCTCAATTGCGTTTCTAGTCCTGTAACATCCTTCACACAGCTTCTTCATCACTTAAAGCTCTCTCGACCTTGACAATAGCAAATCGCCAAAATGTCATTATGTCCAACTTGGTCCACGAACACCAAGGAGCAATCGCCATGTGAAATAGTGGCAGTGGTGTACAGTTCGTGTTCGAATGCTACGACGAGTAAGCCCCCTCCTATTACTCTTTGTGATACGCCTGAGTTGCTTCAGATAATACCATCCCCCCTTCCTCTTCCGATTATTCCTTCGTTCCTGTTAGCTCAAATGCGACTTTATGCACTTGGTGAGTCACATTCGTGTAAATTCGGTGTGATTTTTTAAAAACGAGAATGGGCACTATAAACAGTTCCTGGGCAAGCTACAACTTGATAAGTGCCTGTACGTTTTGTGCCACGGGATCGCCCTCCTTAGTGAGGTAAGTTTCTTAAATCCACTCGCTGTTCGCTTTAGCAAACTTGGCGTAGCTGGGATACATGGATAACGAATTGTAATGGCAACACGTCAACAACAACGTGAGTTTATATACGTTTGGTCTCTACTGGTCTAGTTTTTTCATGTCTCTCAAAGATACTTTCCTTGGGATGAGGGAATAAGACTCCCTTCTAACGCGTCAATAATACCTTATTATGCGAGCTACAATCGTAAGTTCTGATAGCAGGACCGCTAGCTCTTTTATCACGAACGATCTTACAGCTAGTTACTACTCCAACGGGACATTTGTCGTGACCACTGCCTCAGATAATAGCGCTACGGGTAAGCTCAATCGACCATGTCAGTCACATGCGCACTAACTTTCATTAGGAATAGGCAACTTGAATGGATCACCCATTAGCAGTCCTTCCTCTTCGAGCTCACCATCCAGTTCTTCGTCTTCAGCAACTCCTATTGGTTCGATTGTTGGAGGTGTTGTCGGGGGAACGGTTCTGCTGCTTCTGTTATGCGGCTTTTTCTTCTTCATTATTTGTCGGAAGCGCAGAAGAGCAGCGCAATTTCCGCACAAAATGACACTGCCCACAATGAATGGTTCGCACTTCGCTGTGGCGACCAAAGACTCGACGATTCACACTCCCCTTGCACCATCAGGATACCCTCAAACGTCAGCTGCGATGTCTACCTCTTCTTATGCTATTCAATCCAATAATATTCCCAACGGTCCTTCAGTAACAAGTCTCCATTCGCTCCACATCGCTTCACCCACCTCTACTGTTCGTCCCATGCCTGTCTCGCCTTTGGCGCCCCCTATCACCCCTGTGTTGTCACCCGTTGGCGATGCAGCTGATGTAATCACACCATTCCTTGCCACCCAACCATCACGACCAAGCACCCCAGACAGAAAGAACGCCGAAAGTTACGGTGAACCTGCACAAGAGCGTGCCATGTCACCGCAATCTCAAAGATCACGCATGAACCCACCCCCTTATACCCCATCATCCCCCACGTCCTCAAGACATTCCCGCACTGGGTCCAACTCTTCCAGGAGGCTCTCTGTCATGAGGCACTTCAGGCGGGAAGGCGGCCCAGGGGACACGAGCATCCAGTCAGCCATGGGCCAGAGGAGGACGCACGCCCCGAGAATGCACTCTTCAACGAGTGCTGAGAGCGCCAGAAGTGACTCAACCGCCGCAAGTGCGAGTGACAACGGGCGGAACGTAAGGAGTACACTTGAACGCACTACAACGACAGCTGCTTCAAGTTCACGTCGGCCTGTTGTGTAGAGAATATATTTGTGTCTCTTCTTGTTCCATCGGGTATAGACAATACGTGCGGTATTGAACTGTGATCGTATATGTTTCGTCTATGCAGTAATGGATTTTCTGTGCAACGGATGGTGTAGTGGGTATTCGAGTTGTGAGGAATGGTGGTACAATAGTTTGCATATATGCGGTAGTTATAAAACATTTTCTCAAGCTCAGAGGATAGGGGGAAGCGCAATCAGGTCTAGCACATATTCAATAATATCTTTCTTCTCCTCTTGACACTTTATAACATCAGTCTCCACAGAGTCCTGTGTGATAACGTTATACACAAAAACTGTCTTGTCTTGGCCAAAGCGGTGGCACCGCGAAATGGCCTGTACCTAATTTGCTGGGTTTCCACATCAATGGCAATGCGTTTCGCTCTAACCACTCACCTCTTTGCAACTGTTCCACCACGGGTTAACGAGAATGACATGATTTGCGACAGTAATGTTGAGTCCGACACCACCAGCGTTAATGGACATCAGGAGCACTTTCATGCGGACATTGTCCGCGAAAGAATCGAGGACTTCCATGCGTTGTTTGGTCGAGAGTTCGCCGTGAACTAACAATAGACATAACTTTCAAACGCCAACTCGCATAAAATGGACATATCATACGAACATTGGCCCACGTCTATCTTCAGTTTCTTCATCTGAACCTCCAGCAGATCCATCGTGTCCCTAAAGCAGCACTGGGCAGGCAGACATGAGGCAAGTCTAAGAAAATGGCAGAACGACATACAAAAACCAACACCTTCTGGCCTTCTGGTACCCCTGTGATGATATCTATCACCGCGCGGATTTTACTTGAGACATACGCATGTCCAAACAGCCGAGCGAATGGCTGAAGGTTTAATGGGAGAACTTCCGGATCCGGACCGAGTCCACGTCCGTACATGTCCACTGCACCTGAAGTCACATCAGCATCCAGGCCTTGCTCCTCGATTATCTGACCCAAGACGCCCATGAGTAGCAATGGATGATCGCATGCTAGGAGAAAGGACTATCAGAATAATCTGCACACCGTATACGTAAACAGATCTATTACCTTGCCTGGCTCTCAGCCACCCGAAATCGAAATCTCTGATGCTGGAACGAGCCCAATCGTGTATCATTTTCTCCCCTTGTGTTTGGCGCACATGAACAGTCTTGATTTCTAGATTCGGAAGTTGAATTACATCCTCCTTTCTCCTGTATCGCGCACAATCCCCAAGAAGATCCTATAAGAGGTTCATTTCAATAACTGCGCATAGCGGAACAACAATAAGAACGTACCGCAACTGCATGTGCGGAAACCTTGGAGAAGTATCCACATTTACCGCGCACAGCGAAAGCGGTGCTTTCGGCAGCCGGTCCCCGTTCATTGGTGATGTCAAGAAATCTGAGCTGGGGTTGGATATCGGATAGCTTGTTCTATACAAGCCGTTGTTGAGACTTGGTTACTCGATGGTCGTATTCAAATCGTTACAAACTCACTACGAACGGGGTGCCAGTTAGACAAAGCCCTTGAAGCTTTTGTAAAGCCATGCATGCCTTGTACCAAGCACCTAAACCCACAATCCTATGCGATTCATCTGCAATATTCTGTACTCAGTTAATGCGGTCAGCACTTCAGGCCTTGAACATGGTACCTAAAATGACACGGGACCAGCGTGCCAGAAAAACTGGATCCTTGCTCATTCGGCGTTCTATTCGCTGATGCGTGGTGATCTACGCAGGGTATTAGGTGGCACCGAGTAATTTCTTGGAAGTACTTGCGATAACATCTGTGTCCATGAGAGCGTCTACACCTATATTAACGTGGATTTTAGAATATGCGGGCAGGTATGGCAATCTACCTACTCATGTGCCCATCATGAACTTTCGCTGTTAGCCCATCACCAAATTTCCCAATTTCGCGCATCCACTGTTCGCGGAGAGATACACTAGGGACAACAACCCTTTATCGCAGTGTCAAGGAGGCAATAGTAACAAGAGAAAATCAGGTTTACAGTGTCGTCTTCGGTCGTCTAGGGGGAGCTTTCACGGGTCCACTAGTCTTAAAACGAACCTCAGGCGATTTCTTGAGATCTGCTGCTTTCGTCTCTTGAAGCGTCGTCTTTATCAACGCGATGGAAGTTACGGTCTTCCCGAGACTTTGAGTTTTAATGAGTGATTAGAGGCTCATTCATGCATGTTGCACGCACCCCATCTCGTGTGCGAGGATCGAGCCTCTTTGTCCTGCTTTCTCACGGGCGAGTAGCCACTCGAGGTCCATCGCTTGATGCTTGAAAAGGGTGAACGATGAGCCCAGAACGGAACCACCAATCTTCTTGTTTGCTGCATTGCTAGACTTTGGTTTTTTCTGAAGCTTGTTAAACTGACAAAAGTTCAAGCTTTGGTGCCACTCACAGGCGTCGCAAGTACAAATTCACGGGAAATGTTTGCACCAATAGGTGGGGTTACTACTTCGTGTTTCAGATTTTGTGGGGCGTTGGAAAGTCGAACAGATTTTGATGCCTTGGAGGCTGAAGATGGCGTCACATTAGTGGTGTAGCGTTGGGACTGAAATTGACACTAATGAGAATGCCTTAAGGCGATGTAAAGTAATGCTTGCCTCTTTTTGACCACCATCATTTTCCAATGATGCAAGAAACAACTGAAAGGCGGACATGTATTTTGAATTTGAAACAGAGATTAGGAGTACACAATCTCTCGCACCTCTTCGTAACCCTTTTGAGTGATAGGCCTAGGCAAACCCAGATAAGTCTTCAGGTCGTGTGATACTCCTTCATTTATTGTTTGAAGCTAACATCTCATATTAAGTTTTCGTGATAACCACTGTCCATTGTTTCCGCCTGGGAGAAAGACGCATGGACAAGTCAGCAGCGATGATCGATGGGTGCATTAGTACACACCCTTAAAAATCAGAATAATGAGAACAAAGACTCTTTAATCTCGTCATGAAGACCATAGCAACCACAACGTTCATTATAATCACCGCACTTACGGTATAGTACTACTTACAGCTGAAGGAACTGAAAAGGGTAAGTCACCAATGAATCGAACTTACTTACATGAATAAGCATCGCAGCATAAAGAGAGTTGTCATGACGTCAATGGTAATGTTTCGGTGGCCTGCATACTAGCCGAAACAATTACATGAATCCTTGCAGAGGAATAAATCTGCTATCAACGTTTTCCGGGAGCACTGCGGGCGCCGCCCCCGCCACCTTCCAAATCATGGTTCGAGCAAGCAGAAAATTCTGGCAACTTACCAATATTTAGAACACTGACATACCGCATCAACGTTCAACATACTAGTATGGGAGCATCGTGACATGGCGATCCTCATCTACTAGTAGCGGTAGCAAGCAAAAGCGGTATGATCAAGTTGATGTTCCAAGAATTTGTGAAGCACTAGCAGCGCTGCTTACATAACCTAATTGGCTAATAACTGCCAAGAGACGAGCGGCTATTGCCGAGACTATGTTTGCTTCATTTAACGACGAGGATCACGAGGCGATGAAACATTTACCTCGTGTTACTAGTAAGTAGAATACAACCACTTGCATGAAGAATTAATGGCTAAAATAAATAAAACTTCCACCAGAATAAAGGATTATTCTCCTGTTCCGTTGTGCATAAATAAAAACCACTGAGGTAAATCTCAACCTCTTTCTGAGGGGCCGGTCTTCTACATGTATCTTGACTGCCAAGTTCCAACTCGAAGGTAGAATGTTTGACAGGTGAGACAGAGTCGGCGGTACTAGTAACGGGAGTACAAGGAATCGTGCAGCAGCTGTACAACACGTGGGTCCTCTTCCGCTTAGGCTACACTCCAGCAAGCTCCGGCACCCTGTCCGACCTAGTCTGTTGTCTTTTGGATTTATTCTCTGCCACACACTCCAGTGAGCATTGAAGATTTGATAGCTCAGATCCTTGTACATCTGCATGCAATGAAGGCAAGTCCGATGGGGGAAGCTGGTCATGGTATAGAGCACCCGAAGGTGCAGCTATCATAGCATTGCTTTGTCAAGCTTACTCGTGTAGGAAGTTTGTCGTTGTGAATTCTCATCAAGTTTCTTACCAGAGAACCTGATCAGGGAAGGAATCATCCACCCAGTCACCATGACACCTGCCAATGGCGGGCAAGAGTATCGTCCTTGTCAACACCTGCTGCCATGCGCATGTGGACTCGGTTCCCGCACCCTCATAAACGCAGATGCCATCACGTAGCTGGATGCCTGCGTTGAGGCGGATGTCTGTATTGACACTGGAGATGTCTGCACTTACGCTCCTGCGAATAGCTCACTATTTTTGTTACTCACCGTATATCCTCATCTTGATGCGTCACTTTGCGGCTTCAAGGGTCACTTTACTTCATCGCATTCACTAATGATGTGGGAATCGCAGCACACCTTGGCTCATTTTTACGCAGGTTGGGGGTCACTATCGGGGCCCTTCGGGGCTTGCGCTCAAACAAGCTTACGATCAAACATAACCACATTTTTTATTGTCTCACTGCCTACAAAGTATAGAGCCCCTTTCCACGGTCCCATAATCAAGATAACGATTAATAATATTAAAATATTAAAATATAACTTATAATGTGGACATGAACTACTGCCGCCAGCCTCTGGCACGAATCTCAGACCCTCTATCACTGTAATCTTCTGCCTATGTCTGTCTGATTTTGGATCAATTGAAAGTCCATGTTAAACTGAAATGTCGAGTTTTATATCGTTGTTCAACACTTCCAGGCATCCAGTGACTATGAATCCTCGCGACAGACCATCAGATCCTCTTTCACAACTCCGCTACGCCCTCGAAACAATGCCAAGTTCACGAAAGTATATATTCTCTCCTGCAACCCGTGCAGAGGTTCTATCAGAGCTTTACGATGCATTTTGGGGACCGTATTCACATCTCTTCCTCCCGTTATCCAATTCCAGCCTCCCCATGCACGCTACTCTCAGTAGCGTTCAAGCAGATCTG